GCAATCCTGGAGTATCCGGTGATGAATCGCTGATAGTAGCCCGCCAATCCCATGAATGAACGAACGTCCGTGGTGTTGGCGGGCTCGGGCCATACTCGGATGGCCTCGATCTTGTCCGCAAGCGGACGGATGCCTTGCGGCGTCACATAGTGKCCCAAGTACTCGAGCTCCTGCCGTGCGAATTCACACTTATCGCGGTTGGCCTTGTACTTGGCTTGTCGTAGCCGCTCCAAAACGGTGCGCAGGTGCTCCAYATGCTCCTCCAAACTCCGACTGTACACCAAGATGTCGTCGAGGTAGATGAGTACGAACCTATCGAGCATGTGTCGGAACTCCGTCGTCATAGCCGCTTGGAAAGTGGCTGGGGCATTCGTAATGCCAAATGGCATAACCAGCCATTCGAAATGCCCATACCGCATCTTGAATTCGGTCTTGTAACGGTCCTCCTGCCGAATCTCGAGTTGGTGATAGCCTGACTTGAGATCCAGCTTGGAGAAAAACTTGGCGCCGCCCAATCTTTCGAGAAGATCGTCAATGCGAGGGAGAGGGCCGGCGTTCTTGACCGTCTGCGCGTTGAGCTTGCGATAATCGATGCACAACCGCAGGTCCTTGCTCTTCTTCCGGACGAAGAGAACAGGAGCACCGTATGGCGATGAGCTAGGCCGTATCCAACCTTTCTCTAGAAGGTCGTCGAGTTGAGCACGAAGCACACTTAACTCTTCCTCGCTCATTCGGTAGATGCAACCGCGTGGAGGAACGGCCCCTTCCTCGAGAATAATCTCGTGGCGAATGGGCCGATCCGGTACTACTCCGTGCGGGCCTTCGAACACGTCGCTGTAGGCGTCGAGAAGCTCGGTGATGCGTGGATCCGAAGAAGAGTCCGTCGGTGAAGCGTCATGGGGCGGGAGGGCGTGGAGAAAACATACCCCCATCTCCTCGATGTCGTCTCTGATGATGGAAGCTCGCATGCTTGCGGCGGATACCACGTGACAGCTGATAGAAGAATGAGGAAGTGGCACAGTGCATGGGACTAGTACTCCGTTCCGATCACGAATGTGAACGGTGCGGCGGTAGAAGTATTATTTTCCTCTTATTGTTATTATTATTATTATTATCAGACCAGCCTTCTTCCTCACTTCACATGCAGACAAACGGGTGATACACCCATCTGACGGTTAGTGCTCAAACACAGGACTCAGAAGTATGCTGACCAAAAACATAGATCAGGTACTAGTCTCCTGCAGACAATAATGACTCGAACCACAACCAAACGATAACACTGTGTACATTCAGGATCACCTTAGGTGACCCACATGATTTACTTACAAGGGAACAATAGGCACATCGAAAGAATCGACGGTAAGTCAAGTGAACAAACAAACAAGCATGGTATAGGCTAGTAGGAAACAGGCAAACTAGTAACTGTACAAATACAATCTAACAAGACACTGAGAGAAAACGGAAAAGGATCGTGACTAAACAAGATAAGCTGATACGTCTTGGACATACAAACAGCGATACATTGTTTCAACTTGATGATGATGACTGAGAGTTGTACTTATCCCAAAAGTGTTTTTTCCTAAAAGAGCAGGGCGATTGCGGGAGCTCTGCCGGAGTTCAGGTGAAACTCTAGAGGCAGAGAACTTTCAGGTACGTATATGACTTCCTTTACTCCTAGGATAGTAGTTTATGTATGCATGAATCCTTCATTAAGGTTAATGAATCTAAAGAGAGTATAGAGAAAGATGTGCGATGAGAGATGAGGGAGCTATTGGGATAAGGGATCATGAGCTTTCCTTAAGAGGTAGTACGAACTACCAGGGGGATTGTACTCTCTAAAGATCATCCTTTCCTTTGTTCAGTATTGTTAATTGAGTAATTGGATAGACGGCCAAGGCATGCCCGTCCAGTTGCTTATTATTGTAAAATTGTTTGTCTTATATTGTACTTTATGCAAAATGATAAGATAGAGGGCCAAGGAGCGCTCGTCCGATCACTTCATGTAATGTTCAGTTTAGTAACTGGATAGAGGGCCAAGGTGTGTCCGTCCAGTTACTTGTTTTGTTTTTGTTCTCTGTGCGGGGTGATCAGATAGAGGGCCAAGGAGTGCCCGTCTGATCGCTTCCTATATTGTTCTGTTTAGTAACTGGATAGAGGGCCAAGGAGTGTCCGTCCAGTTACTTGTAACAGTTTTGTTCTTCGAGCGAAGTGATCAGGTAGAGGGCCAAGGAGCGCCTGTCTGACCACTTCATGTATTGTTAGTTGAGTAGCTGGATAGAGGGTCAAGGAGTGTCCGTCCAGTTGCTTCTTGTTTATATGTAAATCCGTATGTTCTCATCCTCAGTACGAAGTAGTCTGATAGAGGGCCAAGGAGTGCCCGTCAGATTACTTCTTGTAGTGTTCAGTTAAGTAACTGGATGGAGGGCCAACGTGTGTCCGTCCAATTACTTCATGTGTATCTA